GCCCAATAGTAAATTACACCTAACTGATGAGCATGCGTGTGAAATAAATATACTGGTATTTGGTACACACGTTTTTCTCTCTTTATTAAAGAAAGCTATAGACCTGGTGACAAAGGCCACAGAAGAAGATAGGAAAAAGAATTATCAAGAAGCTTTCCGTCTTTATGAGCATGGGGTCGAATACTTTCTTCATGCTATAAAATGTGAGTCCTTACATAAGTTATGTATGTCAAAGCTGAACAATTTCTGTTGTTGTTTAGCGGTTCAGGTTAGCTTGTTTATAGGTTGTTACTATACGACTTTAAAAAAACAACATCTGTGTTTTCTTTCCTTTTATCTGTAGCATGCTTATTCTTAGTTAAAGTTACTATATGACTTTAAAAAAACATCTGTGTTTTCTTTCCTTATATCTGTAGCATGCTTATTCTTAGTTAAAGTTGCTATACGACTTTTAAAAAAACATCTGTGTTTTCTTTCCTTATATCTGTAGCATGCTTATTCTTAGTTAAAGTTGCTATACGACTTTAAAAACAAAACGTGTTTTCTTCCCTTATATCTGTAGCATGCTTATTCTTAGTTAAAGTTGCTATACGACTTTAAAAACAAAATGTGTTTTCTTTCCTTATATCTGTAGCATGCTTATTCTTAGTTAAAGTTGCTATACGACTTTAAAAACAAAACGTGTTTCTTTCCTTATATCTGTAGCATGCTTATTCTTAGTTAAAGTTACTATACGACTTTAAAAAAAAAAACGTTTTCTTTCCTTATATCTGTAGCATGCTTATTCTTAGTTAAAGTGTTTTAGAACTGATATTTTAATAATATTACAACTGTATTATAGTGGTTTTTGTCAAGTACACATATGTTGGGTGGGCTTGTAAAAAAATAAAATTATTGTAAAACTCAGTCAAAATTCAAATCATAAAAGTTGTTTTGAGGTTTGGGTAAGAATGCATTGAATGTTTCATAAATAGACACTAATGTTTGTTTTTGTCTATGTTTGTTAACATTTATTTAATTCCTAGTTTTATAGCTATTACACCCTATATTAGAATAATTGCATTTGAATTGAAAAAACATTCAGCATGTATGTTTAACTGACATATTTAGGGTATCCTTCTGTACATACTCTTGCCTATATATATATGTATGCATATTGTAACCATGAATATGAATTTCAAATTGTGGATTTTACTTACAGCAAGTTTCATATCGTATCTAAAACAGTAACTTAAAAAAGTTTGCAATGTAAGTTTCCTGTAAAATGACCAAACAATTTCTGTAATAAACTTAATGTAAACTTCAGTTGAAAAGTTTAAATATTCATATGTTCTAGTTTAGTTTTAATGCTGTAGTAACTAAAATATTACAAGGTTCTTAATGCTGTAATAACTAAAACATTTTATAGTTCTTAATGCTGTAATAGCTAAAACATTTAAAAGTTCTTAATGCTGTAATAGCTAAAACATTTAAAATTTATATATACATATTAAACATGTTAAATGAGTTTGATCACAACTTTGTGTTGATCTGAAATTTCTTATTATCCACAGATGAAGCACAGAATGAGAGATCTAAGGAAAGCATTCGGGCCAAGTGTATCCAATACTTAGAAAGAGCAGAAAAACTAAAGGCTTATTTGAAAAAAGATAAAGAGAAAAAGAAACCTGTAAAAGCAGGGGAAAATGAATCTAAGTAAGAAAATGTTTACAAGTTTAGTTCATTCTAGATCATGTACTTTACAAATATTGTAACTTACAGGCTTTAGGCTGGTGTTTTGTAGAAAGTAAAAATACAAAACAAAAGTGGAGTTAGGTGTAATTTACTATTGGTCAAGTAACATAGATTCATTATCATTCGTAAAGACTTTATTTCACTGCAACTATCATTTGAAGAAACGTACATACTGCAAAAATGACAAAAGTTAATTCCACATGAATAATAAGTAATTTACGGTATCCTTTTATTAGATAATGAGGCCAAACGAACTTAACATTTAAGGACAACGAGGGACCTGCTGGCTCTTCTAGACAGCCCTTATCATTCAAATATTTATTAAGCCTTCCCTTAAATTTACTGTTTTCACAACATCTGGAAGCAACCCATTCCATAGATCAGCTACTCTGTTTGGGAAATAAACCTGTCTTAGCTGCCCAAACTTTGTTTGTGTCACCTATCCCTACCATTAAATACAGAAAAAGATGATGCATTATCTACACTATTGGCACCCTTAACAACCTTAAACACTTTAATCAGATCCCCTTTAACACTTCTAGTTATCAGCACCCTTAACAACCTTAAACACTTCAATCAGATCCCCTTTAACACTTCTAGTTATCAGCACCCTTAACAACCTTAAACACTTTAATCAGATCCCCTTAACAACCTTAAACACTTCAATCAGATCCCCTTTAACACTTCTAGTTATCAGCACCCTTAACAACCTTAAACACTTTAATCAGATCCCCTTTAACACTTCTAGTTATCAACACTATCAGATAAAAGTTACTATAAACTGAATTTTCTAATAAATATTACAGTTGTATTTAATACATTTGTGTTTATTGTGCAGATATTGAGAAGATATTTAAAACATGTCTATACAGGTATATATATGTGTGTGTGTGTAAAACCTGTGTGCTTGTGTATGTATACTTTAATATTTGCTTATATATATATATATATATATAAAATATTTTGTTTTGACATACAGGTTGTTAGGGGTTTTTTCATCTAAAAAACGACATTTATTGACGACCTAATACTTGATGTTGCCTTTAGTGGCGAAACCATGGCAGTAATAAATGAAATATTTTTGAAATGTACAGTCAACTTTGTTTTCCTTAATTCTATTCTGAATCTATAATTCATTGGTTTTAAAATATACAATAATTTAAGCTTAAATGCACTCTTTAAACTTTCTAAACAATATGATGTGTGTATATATCAAGTAGACTTTAAAACAATGACTTAAAAAACGTATGTATATTTAGTTCATTATCGTCTTTGTGGAAAACCTTACAGTAATTTTATTGAAATGAATAAAGTCTGGAGCAACTGAAAATGTTAACCGTTTATAATAGTTATTATGCTTTATAAAACAAAGTTTACTTACAGAAAGTCATTAATACTTTTATGAATAAATCTACTTAACACTATATTAAAATTGAAATTCGTCTTAATTTCTGTTTCGAAAACATACAACAGTTTAAATATGTGGTATAATTAATAATGAAACCTCACAGCTCACCGGTATATTGGCACATTTTTAATAACAGCTGTGAGTGATGCAACTTCTGGTGCCAAGAAATGATAAAAAAAGCAGTAACTATTTAAAAAATTGAATAAAATATGTTGTACCACCAGGTTCGGCTCCGGCTCCTCTTCCTTGTGGGGGCGGTAGTGGCGTTTTTGTTGAATCTACTTGGCGATTTCAAAATAAATTATACGATTTTTTAAACCGCTAAGGAAGGAATGGACTTAGATAAATATAATAAAGATCTGTTGAGATCAGGGACTTAGAATTTCCAAGACTGATATCCGTGTACTTAATGACATTGGAATACAAAGGAATATGGATCAACGTGAGGTACCATTTAGAAAGAGCCCTGCAGAAAGCCCTACCTAAGTCGTGGTAAGCAGAGTCTAGCGTATTGTAACAGTTGATAATCCACGAGCACAAAGGTCAGTGCCAAAGTAATCTACACGCCCTAGACAATGTACGCAACATAATAAAGAAAGACCTTTGTCTCTAAAAGTGACTCAAGTCACGTGTATACATGCTGCTTCTATGACATGTCCATTTAATCGTTGCATACCTCAAGCAGCTGGAGAATGAAATGGGTATTCATACTGTTATATAATAAAACATGCTGGAAGTCGCCACACGCACCATCTACGAATTTCTTTGCGATTGGATTATTGAAAAGATACTGTAAAGCTTTCGTTCTCGTACACTAGGTGAATTTTGGAAACCTGCAGGGAGCAGCAGCTTGCTTTTGACATGGCAGCCTTAAAACTGGGCCTTTTGCAATAGAAACTACACTGCAGGGTTATTGTCAAGATGCACGGCCGTTAGATAAACATGACTAGACTGGACGGGACGACATGGACTGTGACCATTTAGTGAGGTTCCAAAATCGTTTTAGCATAATGTAATGAACCTCTTTATTTGTCTTTTATACCTTTTTTCTTACCGTTTCCATTATTATTTCCAGTATTGTTAGGTTTTTCCTGGCTATGTTGTATAATAAAGCGAAACACTAAGAATAAAAATATTTTTTTGTAATTAATCATATCTTTTATAACTTGAACAAGTAGAAATCCAAATGGAGCTATAAATTAATTTTTGGCATTTGAAAAGATATTTGGTTTCTTTGTATAAATAAATGTAAAGTAGTCATTTCTTCTGAAGTGGCTTGTTATTTTTGTTGATAAAAAGAAAGAAAAAGAGTTGGAATAAGATTTGTTTCACGAATGACTCAGTGGTGAGCTTTGAGAGCTGAAAACGCTGAATTTATGGGTTTGATCCATGTGGCGTACATAGCCCAATGTATAGTTTTGGGCTTCATTAAGCAAACTAAATACAATTAGTTATTTGTTTATGCAGTTCTGAAGTTTGCTCAAATAGTAAAAATGCTATTACTATATTAGATTATTCTATGAAAATACGGATAATGTACATACAGTTTTTTATATCGTTTACAATTTATCTGAGTAAAAACGTTTACATATTTCAGAACCATGTAGTTTAATGATTAAATATTATTAAATTGAATTTAAAATTAGATATTAAACTGTACGATGAGAATGGAATATTGTTTATTAATATACTTTCAAACATCGCCCTCTGTTGATAACCCTTGGTTTTTAAATTACTTTGTGAGTTGTATTTCTGGACACTAAATTAATAGGCAAGCCTATTGCAGTGGGCTTTGCTCTATTTTTGTAAAGCATTTACAGAACTAATTCGGATTCATTATTTTACTGAAATGAGTGGTGGGACACTTCAAGTAAGAATGTGTTCATATATATATACATATGGATGTGAATTTTTTGGGGGCGTGTATTGTAGACTTGTAATTTTGTATAACATATGTATTGTTATTAAATTTTTAATAGACTTGCAAGTTACGAGACAATGCTATTAGTCATTACGTCAAATCGGTTTTAAACATTTTAATCTTTTATTCATTTGTCACTACACAGCTAAGGCATTGAAATGAAAGTAATGCAGTATGCTTAGCTTATAAATTTAAATGGTGTAATTAGTAACTTCTGATCCGAAGACTAAAAGTTGAGGTTGAACTTTAAGGTTTGTGTAATAGAACCCAAACAACGTGTAAATTAATGAAGTAAATTCTATCTATATAAAACTTAAAACTGAATAGGAGTACTGTAAAATATAATGCTATAAGTCATCACATCAAAAACTATAGTCTTGTAAGTTTCAATAAAATCATCTGTTACCCTTATTTTTTCAAGAGAAATTAAGAGATCTTACCTTGTTGCTTTAAGATAACCTTTCACCCCTGGAATCATCCTAGTAACCTTGATTTCCATTAAGTCTATAGTGTAGTTTATTTAATATTTGCAGGAATTACCTTTCGTGGTTTTACATGGAAACTGGCTTCATAGAAAAATGAAATTGAAAATGCATGTTGGTAATAATCCACCTATTGAAAGCAATGAACTTGTCTGGGCATCTTACAGCAGGCGCTGCAGGTACTTAACTGACTACAGCTTACGTCACCTCATTGTTTACTGTTTCGATTACCAAGTTATTATCTGTGTATAGCATTATTGAGAACAGTTACTCAAATGGCTTGGCGGGTGTAAATTTGGACGGACGACAATCGAGATTGGTGTTGCACGAGAAAATGCAGCTTGGAGGAATGTTTCACATCACCGAGAATAAGGCAAAGGTTTACAACGATTGTCATTTGTATCCCCCCCATTGATTGTGGTGTGTAAAAAGACTTGTTTTGTAATCGACTCACACATGTAATTTACATAGTGCTGTGCTTCATGGATGTGGTAAAGAATAAAAATCTTATCGATGATGATTTTTCATCTTACAATCAGGTTGTTAATGCCCTGATTAAAGAAATCGTGTGGTTTTGAAGCAAAAAACACGTTGATGTCCTCTTTAATACATTCCACATTTA